ATGAAGATGAAGTGGAGTAGAAAAAAAAAAGTTTAAATTGGCTAAACAGTCAGCTCTCTATGGGGAGCTGAAAATAGAAATCAGTTCGTGGAACTCAGGAGCTTCACTATCTTCTATTTGGGGAAGATCAAACTTCGGCATTTGCAAGTTAAACAGGGATCCCCAAGGCTTCTAGAGAGCACTTTATAAAAAGAGGTTTTATATAGGACCTGTGTATTTTGCAAATAAAACTGTAGCACATTAAATTCTAATCACATTCTATTCATAGCATCTGAAATCAGAGTATAAATTTGCTTCCTACGGATAATTATCTGGACTGGAGTTTTAATCTCATATGTATGCCATTACCCCTATGCAAACATGGATTTATTTTGACTTTTTCTTTTCAGCAGCATTCAGCTATTTTGACATTTTAAGTGGTTACGAGTTGGTTTTAAATAAAGGCAGCCTAAAAAAAGTAGATGATATGTTAAGGAGTAGTACTTGAACTGAGAAACAAAAGAATACAGCATTGTAGAATAATCTCTTTTCTTGGGGAATAATGCCCAAATTCCAGAAGGAAAAGCAGTTAATCATGTCAGCTTTGTAAACAGAATTTCTATGAAAGTCAATGCCGCTTTAAATACATCTGTCAGGCTCCTCATATGATCTTAAGCTACATCGGAAATGAATCCAAGTATTCTAAACAGGAAAAATTCTCCTGCAGAAAATTTCCCATTATTATGAAATTGTTAATTATGTTAAGGAACAGCAATTTCGTCTTCTGTCAATGACAAAACGTACACAGGACAGTACAGTTTTACTTAGATATACCAAGATTTACTTGGAAAGGGTTGAAGACAAGTCATGGACCATTTTCTTTTGCTTTCAGTCAGTTACAGCTGTTGGGCCAGCTCAGAGCAGTGATCCAAGCATGGCACAGGTACACAGCGAAAAGGCTTCAGCACCACTTGCTCTTCCCAGCAACACCTAAACCTTTGGTCTCAGATCAACACATGAAATAGAGACACCTTCTAAACAGTACTCTCTACTGCCACTTCTATAAAAAGCTCACAGTCATCATGAAGCAAGGACTACAAACCTCCTTTTGTGAAAAAGCAACCACATTCCTAACATTAAAAAAAAAAAGTAAAAAGGAAAAATATGATTATGACATTTAAATTGCCATCATCAGCAAAAAGCAAAAGAATAGACAACTTTAAATATTACTGCAACATTTTTCATCATAAAATTTATATAAAATTTGGGCTATCAGGTGCATTTGCCAGTGTGTATTCTGACAAGCAAATTAGTTCTGCATTTAAAAGAAGCCCCCTGATTCAGAAGCCCTTTAGTTCCAGTGAAACCCAAACAGTGCTTTATGGAACAGGTTTTTTTGGTAAGTAGATGCCTAATGATGCAGATAGATAGCACCAACAATTTTAAAATTCCTCAAAAGAGCACACCACGCAATTTTTCTAGTGACTTTGTATGTGTCCTTTAAACCTTTTTTTTTTTTTTTTGAGGAAAACAAAAGTTATTCTGGTAAAAAAGAAGCCTCGTGTGTTTTCATAACTTTTATGAACTGTCAAAAGAGCAATGCATTCGAAGAGGAGATCATGAACTTGCCACGGGTTCTGGCACTCACAGCAGCTGGTTGTAAGAGGAAATACCTTCACACTGCTGTTTGTGAAAAAGATAATTTGACCCCACCAAATTTTTGAACCACAAAAGGAAAGAAGTCGCAAGAGTCTAATAACGCTTCAAAGGCATGCTTTAAACGCACAGGTAATCTAACACATTTAGACACAAGGTGCCTATTGGTATCCACCACATCACATCAGACTGACCCCAGCGAGGAGCTGAACTTAGAAACAGTTTGTAGCTGCGGAGCTGTTACTGAAATGATTAGTTACAACAGCTCTGAGCAGGCAGATCACTTCACCAGTGCGGATCTGTGCAAGATCAGGGCCTGAACACGTTTCTTCCCTTCATCTGGCCTCAGCTTCAGGAAAAAAACACACTTCCCCCCAACCCCAGCCCACTCCCCATGTCAATGGACATTAAGCATATGTCACCTCACTTTTGGAAAGTGTTGCATTACTTCATTACTGTTTGTTGAATTACTTTCAACCAGTTCTCACCTTGCAAAAAACTTTTAAGTGCATTAATAGAGCACATGTTTAAACTCCACCATATGTGAATCATGTGGATCAGTAGTGGGACATTACTTGGGGAAGGAGACGAGGCACAGGGCCGTGGCTTGCCTGCCTCTCCCTACACACCTCTCTGACTAAGTTTGTTTCTATCCCTCCAGCCCCCAGAGAGCCCTTGCCTTCCCTGAAGAACGGTATGTACTCCCTCTCTCCACGTTGCTTAATCCTCCAGAATTATCTCTGACCATTCTACTCAGCCTGGTGGAACTTAGGCCATCTTGATGGCAAAGGCACCCCTGAATCTTCAACCACAGCTGCTGCAGCACTTCAAAAGCAGCTACCACCGCTAAGGATTTAGGCTGCAGCTGGAATCCGAAGGCTCAAGGTGGGGTCCCAAGGGCTGAGCAAAAAGAGCAAAGGTCATTTGTAAGGATTAAAACGTGGACAGGTAATGGATCTAAATAGGGCGGGAAGGGGAGGGAAAGGCAGGGGGAGTGGAAGTCAGTATACAATACAGAAAATCTGAGGAGGTTAAGAGGGGCAGTAACAGGAGGGGCTGGGGGCACAGAAGACAAGAGACTCCCGGTTAGCATAAATAATATACATATATGTTAGGCAGGAAGAATGAGAGCAGCTTGGAAAGGTAAACAAAAATATATTCAGAGGAGGTAGGGCTTTAACATAGAAAAAGGTGAAAAGATCAGTGCGAATAAAGCACAAAAGGAAGTACAAGTCAAAGACAGCTAGAAAAACAGGCACTGAAAATAAAATATTGTGATAAGATGGAGACATAAAATCCATCTGTAAAATAGCTTAGACTAAGACATGTATCACAGCGTTCATACTGCAGGATTACCCCAAATGTAAAAGCAAAGTTTTTATTATTCAGGGTAATAATGGGCTTTGCATATCAACTTATGTTTGAAAAGCATTTTCTTCTGAACAGTAAGATTAGAGAAGTTTAAGAAAAAAGCACTGTGTGGTTTTGAAGACCATGCTACATATTACTTGGGAAGCAGGACTACGAAGTTGACTCACGTGCACTAGAAGGAGATGGCTCCAGCCTTCTCGCTGAGCCAGGCTGTGCTCAGCTCCTCAGAGCGGGGCAGTTCTCAGGAATATCTGAACATATGGGCAATGTTCAGGACACAAACACACCAAGGAATCTGAGGGTTCAAAAAAAACTTACCACATGCTGTGGAGGGCATAAACTTGAACACTTATCAGCTACTTCAGAAAGACTGGTTTGAACAGTTCTCATCTGGCGCAGTGGGAGACAGTCCACCTTTCATTTAACTATAAGGTAAATCTATGCAGTGTGACACGAACTCCATGAGACAGAAGCAAGAACAGACTGTAACCTTAAAATAAATAATTTACTGCAAGTTCACACCTACCTTAGTGTAGAACAATTTCTCAATATTTCAGCTTGTATTTCCATATTTGAATGATAAAATATTACAACACTAAGTCATTATCATATAGTTATAAAACTATGTATCAAGCTGCATGTTGAATGGATTAAAAATGAATTTAGCTTTTCGATGAACTTGGAATATATCTAGATAATAACAAATAGCGTATTTTTGCTAACTGCATTTTTTAACATAGTTGAAATAGTTTAACTATTTTATTAAACTATTAATAGTTTAATAGTTCCACCTATTAAGCACTTGCTTGAACAGCTTAATAGGAACATTCACTTGAAGGACTTCATTGTTTTCACTTGTGACATAAAAGCTTTCTTCACTCAGTCTCATTAAATTGCTAAATCTCCAAATGCTTTGTTGTACTTTATAAGAAAACACATTCTAGAGTTAAAACAGGAAAAGATTTCTAGTTTGGAATCAAGCTGGCTTAATTTTTTTTTTTTTTTTCCCCTCTCCTTGGCTTTCTATTCAGATATGCCAGCAGGGAACTCTGTGTCTAAAAGAGACTGCTAGAAAAGGAGCAGAGGAGAAATGTGATGATCACAGATCAGATGGCTTTTATTTGTTGTTTACTCTGAACTAGAAAGAAAAGAGTACCAGGCCAAAAGTCATTCAGTTAGTTATTAAAAATGACTGATTCTAATTGATCTATCAACAGTTTCTAATGCATGCTGAATGTATCACTCAACATTTACAGCCCAAACTGTTGACTGAGGTTCATCCATATTCATGAAGACATATGAGCATATCTACTACTGCAAAAAGTAATGCTGATGTGGTAATAAAAATACACAAAAACACTAGCATTTTTCCGAGCATCCATGGAGACAACTTGAGACTTCAGAAAAGTAAGTATTTTTATATTACAGCTTTATTTCAAGCACTGTTTCTTAATGCATACAATTTATACATTTTGCACTCTGTGTATATACATATTAATGGAATACTTTCCAAATTATCCCTAGATAAAATATATTACGTGCTTAAAATTATTCCAGCAATAGTTTTTCCAAGTTACATTTTGCTGTTAGTTCAGATGACAGGAGAATAAAAGATAAAAAAAAATAAATTGAAATTGCTTTGGCAAAATATTCTTCCATGGTGATGTCTTTAAAAGTATTTTGAATGCAGGACTTCTTCATTCGTTTTTATTCTGGTATCAGTGAAATAGTTAGAAGGAAACATATAAACGGTTATACGGCTTTATTTAAATATAATTTAAAAGAATATAGATCTATAAATTTTTCAAAGTGTGTGGCCTTGTGTTTGAATTTCGGCCAGTCAAGAAACTGCCTGCTGCTTCTCAACATACAATGGTGCAACACGTTTTTGAAACCTCTAATTGCATTGTTAAAACAAAGCTCCTGGTAACCTCAGAGCCTGTGTCAAGGTAGGAGGACCACCAAAGGTATCAAAACAGAGAAGAATAGCATGGTCATTGAACTGCACACATTGAGCTTCTAGGAGGATTAACGGTTCTTGTCACAGGCTCCTGACTGTAGTTGACAATATCTGCCTTCACCACCCTCTGTCGTAAAAGAAAACACAGTAACAATCAGAAAGTATAATCTTCATGCTGGCAAAGCATTCAACAGATATTTTACTCTGAAATATGGAGGGGAAAAAAGTTAGGCAAATCTGACACTGTTCAGCTTTTTTTTTCAGTAACTTACAGAAATTCTTATCAGGTGCTAATTCTCATTCCAAATACCAGTTTATCCATACTAAACAGAAGGAAGTGCCTTGGTAGGTTTTTACAACACTACAAATGGAATATGACTTTTTTGCAAAAGCAATGAATACAGTTTTACTTCCATAAAAATTGTTTTGTATGGAAATAATGAAGCAATATTTGTTTACCAAGACTGTTGTATGCGTTCTTTAAGAATAACTGCTTAAATTGTAATTGGAAATCACACATAAGTTTGTCTTTCCATCTTTACTCCAAGCACTTCACAGGAAAAATATGGACAGAATTCAAAGCGAATTTCCAATACAGTCATTTTCAGAAAAGCTTTGATAGGCAGACTGACTGAAGACTAAATTAACATAAAAAGAACCTCTCCATACCATAAATATTTATTTTCCAATACAGATCCAGCAGATATTACCCATTCTATTCACACAGCATTTGATAAGACTGTTGATCTCTCCTATATGAGGAGAAGGAAGTGAGATTCCAATTTTGTGTCCATTTCCATCTAAGACAGCTATGTAACGGTTAGAATATACATCACTGAAGGACATACACAGTAACATGAAGTATTTCAAAGTTTCTATGAACTACCTGGTTATTAAAAACACCATCTAATTGTACACAGAGTTCAAAGTTAAAATATTAAGTGTTACAAGTGCATATGGACACAAAATATACTTTTCCAATAGAACTTACTGTAACAGTTGTGACTTCATGTAAAAGCAATGCAGCTTGGGAAAAAAAAAAAAACCACACACACAACCACCACCCCAGTTTTCCATCAATACCTGAACTATTGCATTGAGCAGACTTTGCTATGGCAGTTGGAAGTGTTGTGACGTTGATTATCTTCTTCAGGATATTTCACTAGTTCTGCCCTGACAACATGCTGTTAATCATGTATCAACATAATGGATAGAGGGCAAGGAGAAGAATGTAAAAGAAAAGAGAAGGAAAAAAAAATGAGAGATTGATCAATAATTGAAAAGAATGAATGAATGACATTAAAAGACTAAGCAGAAGCAAAACAAAAGTGCATTTCTTTCCAGGCCTTATGCTGATACAAGAGCAATACGTCTAGCTGAGAGAGTCACCATCAGCATCAGGGCTGCTGCTCAAGCTTCTTTAAGGACATGCCCTTTCAAAGCACCAAAGTGAAATGTTCATACATGCAATCAGCGAGAAGTGTATTAGAGTAAGAGAAAGGACAGAAAAGAAGGCAATTCAGTGGAAGAAAAGATGACAATGGCCTATTCCTTTAAGTCCAGGGTACTTAAATATTACATTAGTCCCCTTCCTATAGACAATTTTAACAGTTGCATTAGATGTAATTAGACACATGCCTTTTCTGTTACACAACTATCGCATTATAACTAAATATATAATCAAAAGTAGTGACATAAATTAACAAGCTCACATCTAAGTGCTGCCAAAGCTTTGATTTTTCTTTACTTCATATAAAAATATAAGGCTCTCATTTTTTCCTTTAAAGACAAACAAAACTGTCGAAAGTTTTCTCCCTATTAATACAGTGCTCATGCAAAGGGGAGGAAAATTCATAGAACAATTTCAGCAAAGTAACAGAGGAGGGTAGGTCTGCTATGAAAGATACCTTAAGCGAGTTTAATATTTTTTTTTAAATACTTCAACTTTTACACAACATATTTGCAAGTTTAAAATGAACAGATGAATTAATAAATACTATTGTTTTAGAGGCAACCATATATAAACTGGATTATATGAATATATAAACAGTGTATGTTAAAGATTACCTCTGTAAATAAAACCTGTATGTCAAACAAGCAACAATAATTGAATTGGCTGGTAAGGGACCTGGATTTATTAGCTGCTGATGTACTCTTCTTGAGTTTAATTGATCACATTCATATTATCTTATCTAGTGGACAACACTCATGATTTACTAGACTCCTGGCCTGATGTTATCAAGGGAAAGGTTGCCAAATCCCATGTAAGGCAGTAGTAGGAGTTTAAACAAGTGTTATCTGACCTCACAGGACCTAGTTTCTTCATAACAATCTTTTGACTAGAGCTGAGGGGGAAAGAACTAAAAAAAAAAAAAAAAATAAAAGTCTTGCAATCAGTAGGCAATTAATTGTTCCTTAAAACATTGGTCTAAATCCCATCCTGTAAACACAGGCAGGTTAGTGACCCATGCTTAGGCACACTGTAGCAAGAAACCGACTATCATAAATGACTTGGATTTTCTCAAGGAATTTCATTTAAATAAGAGTAACAACAAATACCACTGCAACATTTCTTTTATTCACCTCATGGTAACTAAAATCTTGGGCTTCTTTGTATCAGTTTCTATGTCAGGCATATCATTGCCATGGTTCAAATCACTGTCAATAATGAGAAATAACCTTTCTTGGTGCAGATGCTCTAAATTCCACATCTGACTTCTCTGCCAAACATTTTATTGTACAAAGCTGGCACACATACCCTAGTTTGCTGACCTGACATTTAGTTAAAGAGAAAACTACACATCACTTACAAAAATGCTAGCTCTTGCTAACGCCAAGGAACAAAGCTATACCCCATGCAGATTTTACACTATGGTTGAAAGTAAAAAATACAGAAAGAAAAACATTTGATTAGTAAAGGAGCTATTTCCTCAAATTTCATCAGACCCTTGCGATTTAAAAGGGAGAGTATTTTGAGGACTGAAAGTAAGTCAGAATCTGCAGTTTTCTTACTTTGGAACTGTTCCACTTCAAAAACATGCTCTACTTTCCAGTCACGCATAATCTAGTTCTTTGTTTCACCACAGTTTTGACCAAACAAAGGTTTGATTAACAGTCATCTCAGCACGTTAACAGACCAAGGTTTAGTAGCTCTAGCTGAGATAGTTTAAAAACTTACCACCCCCATATGTCTGTCCTATTCCTCTGCTGGAGATCACTGCTGCCAAAGGAGAGCTGGTGGAATGTAACGTGTACTTGCACCTCATCCGCTTCAGCACAAAGTCTGGCAGCTTCACTTAAAAACAACTTTCAGCAGCAGTTTAAGCTAAGCTGCTCAACTTCACCCTGATGTGGCCAAGACACATGATCACCTTCCATTTTCTGATTCTGCTGTGGGAGTGATAAATTCCAGCAAATGGGCAGTAGCAAATAGCTTGGGTTGCATTAATATCTTAAACTGCTGCAGCTGTTTTCTACAACGATGCATGGTAAATAATTCTATTTCTAAGGCTTGTTCTTGCAGTTAATTAACTGAAGTTTTGCTGTTAATTTGAAGGAGATCAAGAATCCCATCCACTTTTTACAAGAGCTTTTGCAGTTCTGCCAGTCATCAAAGCTCAAAAGTCGTGAGTCAAGCCCCACAAATTCATACAAGTTAAAATAATGGGTTTAGGATTCCTATTACTTATTTCTATTTACCAGTGAGTCATTTCTAAGATCTTCCTAGTGACTGTGACAATTATAATTGATTTTAAACACAAGAAATATAGTCTTCAGGCATAAAATAAAAAACACTAGAAATAATTTTTAAAGAGTATTCTCAGTATTAGCCAATAAGTAATAACGAAGAAATGCACAATAAAACGTAATTCACATATAAGATTTCACTGTTGGCATTTTACACAAACTCAATACTTTATCTTATACTTTGTTACCACCTAGATTGAATGAAGACATCTGATGTTCTCTGAAAAACATATTCAAGCAACCACCTTCTCATTTTCCAAAATATGGAAACCTCACATTTCACAAAATATGGAAAATCCAACAATATAATCCAGTGCGTAAATAGTGCACATTTGTAAAAACTAAAATATATTTTATTCTTTGTTTAAAAATTGAACCTATGTCAGCACTTGCATATGTACTGATTTAAAGATGAGTCACACTTACTATTTCATTTTTTTCTTACTTTCTAGCATTTATCTAGCATCCATCCATCCATCTCTCCATCTAATTTTATAGTCCAATACCTAGAGTATTAAACGCCTAAAAACTTTAAGGAACACATTCACATAACTGGTCCACAACTTAAGGAAGCTCTGTGGTCATTTTACAGATGGGGCAGGGTGAAGAGGAACAAACAAACAAAAAAACCCACAAACCACCACCACACTAAGGAACCTGTACCTGTCATACAAAAAGTCTGTCATAAACCAGAAACCTAGTAATGGTGACATCATCTAACACCACGTCCTTCCAGCCAAGAGATCAGTTCCATGCTTTTGGGAAACCATCACCACATTACTTCAATTAGTCTTTTCCACTGCAGACTAACAAATTTCTCTTCTCAATGCCCTTCTATTCATCTCCCTGAGGATATGAAGGTTAAAGTTTTCCTTCTTCAATTTTATGTAGAGACTTTACCTTTCCTATCTTAAGGAGTGACCAAGGTATTTGGTTCCATACAACAATGAACCCTAAGTTACAGCTAACAGACAAACACTCCGATACAATTCCCATTGGTTTCTCACAGACTTAAAATTTGGGCAATTCCTACAGTCAACTCAAAATAGCACTCTGAAAGGAAGCAAAGTTTTACTGCAAACAAAGAACTATTGCTTGTTTGGAACAGATTGAAACTACTCTTGATTCGCAGAACCTTGCAAAGTCAGGCAGCTGCTTTCCAGCTCTCTCTGGCTACGTGCACAGCGTAGCACCACATAGCTACTTCTGCTGTACCTGAAAGGCAACAAAGAAGTTTCTTTTCTGTCCAGCTCCATTTACTGGCTTTGTTTCTACCTTTGTTGGTTTTATGTTGCTGTTCTTGGTTTTTTATTTTCGGTGGGGTTTTTTTTAATCACTATAGCTTGGATTCACAATAACAGTAATGTGTGGGTCACCGTATTTAATTTATGCATATTAACTATTTATAGGCTATTGCTACTGCAATTTGCATAATATCAACTTTGTCTGATCTACATATTGCATATTCCATGTTCCATTGATCTGCTCAACAAAATCAAAAACTGTAATTATAATACTAAAGTAGGAAGAAGACTACTTAAAGCTGATACCAATTTGACATAGAAAGTTATATGCTTTTGAGTTAGGACTACAAAGAGGTTCTTACTTCAAAAACAACCTGAAAATAGACACATTTCCTTTAGAATGCTACAATTTTCTGTATATCCCCATTTGTCATATTCTCTTTTTAATTTAAGGTATTTGCATACTTATGTACAAGCGCACACCTGAGTTACTGGAACACAACACAACACAGCACAGCACAGCACAGAGAGGTCTAAGACTGATGTTCCAGTTCTAGCTAAACAAAGAGAAAAATTAAATAACTCTTTACGTGCTGAATTATTCATACACAAACAATCAGAGAGCTCAGAACAAGAGATGGATGGTGCCTTAATAGTAACTGATCACTGAAAAGACACAGTATTTCTCCACCTATAAATTACAGCTTTTCAAAACTCCTTAGCTTTGCATGTTAGGTATGCAATATAAGTATATTTTAACATTTTACTGTTTGCAATACATTTTTCTAGTTAACCACTTCAACACAGACTGTAAACACTGCTGTGGTGAAACACTTTCAGAAATTACATATATATTGTATATTTCAAAAAGCAGGGGACCAAGCTGTACATAAGAAATGTTTTGCCTTTCTTTTAAATAAACTTGTTGACTTATTTTGTGGTACTTGTTTAATGTTGGTAGTAACTAGCAGTTCCAGTATACTACACCACTAGAACAGCTACCTTTTGGTTCAATAAGTAAATTTAAAATAAGCATGTTTTAATCTCAAATATCATTATATAGTAAGGGTTGCTTTAAAGGACAGTTATTAATTTGCAATGAGATTATTTTTTAACACTAAATGAAATACTAAGAAAAAAATATTTATTTGCAGAAAATCACCTGTGATTGTTCCAATTCTGCTTTATTTAATTTGATGCCAAGTATGTCAGCAGCAATTCTCTGAAAACACAGGAACACCTATAGAAAAAAAAACGCATTTAAATGATTAAAAACAGACACCCTTGAGGTTCTTTCAAATATATCAAACTATTCTTGAACTGTAAACAATGAGATAAACAAAATTATGACCTGTGTAAAACAGATCTGAAAATAACCTCTCATCTGGTACGCTCCATTTTGTTTAAAAATTGGAGAAAATAACTCAACAATAGTACAAAGAATGAACAGTATGCTAGATTGTTAAGCAACACTTCTTCTCTGCCTCCAGAGACCTAAGCTTAAACAAGCTTTTACAAAACCCACCTCTCAAATACTACTCTCAGTGCTATAAAATATGAATAATGACATTCACTAATGTTTAGCACAAAAATATTATTAATGTATTGTGCAACAGAGATGAAGGTTTCTGAAACTGAGAACAACAGAACTGTATGTCAACATCACCAAAATCTCTACTGCACACATTTAAAAACCATTAGCAATACAAAAGCCAAGCAATGATACATTTGTTCTGAAGAGACTTGCAAAACATTATGAGTGTTCTATTGAACAGAAGTTATCCAGGAAACAAGCAAGGTGGCACCAGCCTGGTAGAGCTACGCTTTGGACATGATTTGACAGAAAACATCAGATAGATAAAGGGAGTGCAGGGACGGATGACATTATAGTGGAGGTCTGCTACAGGCCTCCTGACCAGAAAGATTGAGCAGATAAGGCCCTCTATAGACAGACAGGAGCAGCCTCACATTTGCAAGCCCTGGTCCTCATGAAGGACTTCACTACCCTGGACTTCTGGAGAGCAGACTTCAGTCTCTTCAGAGATCTGCTTGGTAGAGTACCATGAGATAAAGCTCTGGAGAGAAGGATCCAAGAAGCTGGTTAATATTCAAGCAGCACCTCCTCCAGGCTCAGAAGCGATGCATCCCAACAAAGAGGAAGTCAGGCTGAAACACCAGGAGGCCTCAAAGAATGAACAAAGAGCTCCTGGACAAACTCAAACACAATAAGGAAGCTTACAGAGGGTGGAAGTAGGGACAGGTAGAGCCTGGGAGGAATGCAGAGAAATTGCCCAAGCAGTCATGTATCAGTTTAGAAAAACTAAAGCCCTGATAGAAATAAATCTGGCCAGGAACATCAAGGGCAGCAAGAAAAGCTTCTATATGTGTGTCAGTGATAAAAGGAGGACTAGGGAAAATGTGGGCCCTCTCTGGAATGAAACAGGAGATGTGGTTACGCAGGATATGGAGAAGGCTGAGGTACTCAATGATTTTTGCCTCAGCCTTCACTGGCAAGTACTCTAAGCCACACTGCCCAAGTTGCAGAAGGCAAAAGCAATGACTGGGAGAATGAAGAACTGTTTTACATCTTTACTGGTGACAGTGGGATTGAGTGCACCTGCAGCGAGTTTCCTGATGACACCACGCTGTATGATGTAGTCGACACACTGGAGGGAAGGGATGCCATCCAGAGGGACCTTGACAGGCTGGAGAGGTGGGCCTGTGAGAACCTCATGAAGTTCAACAAGTCCAAGAACAAAGTCCTGCACATGGGTCAGGGCAATCCCAAGCACAAGTACAGGCTGGGCAGAGAATGGATTGAGGAGAAGAACTTGGGAGTGCTGGTTGATGAGAAGCTCAACATGAGCTGGCAATGTGCGCTGGCAGCCCAGAAAGCCAACCGTATCCTGGGCTGCATCAAAAGCAGCATGGTCAGCAGGTCAAGGGAGGCGATTCTGTCCCTCTACTCTGCTCTCGTGAGAGCCCACCTGGAATATTGCATTCAGCTCTGGAGTCCCCAACACAACAAGGACATGGAGCTGCTGCAGTGGGTCCAGAGGGCCATGAAGATGATCCAAGGGCTGGAACACCTCTGCTATGAAGACAAGCTGAGAGAGTTGGGGCTGTTCAGCCTGGAGAAGAGAAGGCTCCAGGGAGAACTTCTAGCAGCCTTTTAGTACTTTGAGAGAGCCTACAAGAAAGCTGGAGAGAGATTTTTTTCCAAGGTCATGTAGTGATAGGAGAAAGGGTAATGGCTTTAAACTGAAAAAGGGTAGATTTACGTGAGATCTAAGGCAGAAATTCTTCCTTCTGAGGGTGGTGAGGCACTGGAATAGGTTGCCCAGAGAAGTTGTGGATGTCCCAATCTCTGGAGTTGTTCAAGGCCAGGTTGGATGAGGCTTTGAGCAACTAGATCTAGTGGAAAGTGACCCTGCCCATGGCAGAGGGGTTGGAACTAGATGACCATTAAGATCCCTTCCAACCCAAATCATCCTATCATTCTGTTGACTGGCAATGTAATCTTAAATAACTCCTTTACTTCATCTGAATCCAGTCCACCAATCCTACTGTTTAGGTAGCTGCATATTAAATAAGATTAAAGAACACAACCGATGTTAAAGAGGAGTAGTTTAAGCTTGCACTGCTACTGAATACTGTATTGTCAAGCTACACATTATATTTTATCTACATGGTTATTTGATGTAGCTCCCAATCTAAACTACTAATAAACATTGTTTTTCATCATACAGCTGCCACCCTCAAAAGGTAAGGCCTGTGTAAGTGCTTTTAGTAATTTTCAACGAAAATTCAAAAAAATACCATTTACACAATCTCTTCTTACATCTGACATGGAAACTAGTAATGAATTAGTGGCACAATCAACAAGCCACAGTAGCTTCCAGCTTAATTTCTCTTTCTCTGAACTACTTGGTCTTGTACTGGTCTATTCTGCTAGCACAGCAAAAAAAGGAAATCCTGAACAGGCTTACCTTTTCCAGAGACCTACTTTAACTCACATCAGGCTCTGAGGTGTACTGATCTAGATCACCTGCCAGGAGGATGCTTTGTGCACAAAACACCAGACGTGAGTTCAGTGCTTTAGTTAAGCAATTTGATGGACAGTAAGACAGACAGCTATGCTAAATCTTTCAGGAAACTTTTTTTCTCCCCTGAGGAGACTTTTGGGCTTTTCTGTGGACATAAAATTATCTTTTCAAATGAGTCTGTTGGAAAGATCTGAGGTAAACAAAACAAATCACTTCATTTATCTTAACCGAGTATTTAAGATTCCTCTAGTCTATACCCACAGTAGCAATGGATGGCTTCTTCTTAAATCACTGCTTATGGTAAACACCCTGTCTTTCCTGCACAACTACCCAAAAGGATGAAGATTTCTGAAAAGTCAGTGTACGGTAACAGGGAAAGACTTAATTCAAACCTATATTGAAACTAAAAACGAACTACTGTAAACTATATCTCATACCTTCTTTTCTTGGTAGATATTTAAACATAGATTTCTGATTAATACTGTCTAGGTATGTTCAGATCTACTTTTATTTTTAAATGGTACGTTAAAAGTTAAAAAAAAGTATAATCAGTACATATAGTGAGATGCTGCTGTAATTCACAAATCAATTAAAAAGATGTAATAAAGATTCCTTCATAATTTGTAATGTTAAATATATCAACCTTATAAAAAAACCTGCTTTTTCTTCCTATTACCAAATCCCACAAAAAGTTTGTCTCCTTGGAAAGAAATACATTTTATCAGACGCACACTTCATTAACTGAAATATTACAAAATTTTTCTGTTTCTAGCATTAAAGGCTTGAATTTTCACATTTTAAACAAAGAATTTATGCTAAAGATTTAACACAAACTATAAGGAGAATCAAGATTCACTGCATTTGTAACAGCAGTATTGTTAAACTTTACAGAATAACTATTATGTTATAAAATTAGGCAGTTCAAAGTAGACGTTTCATCAAAGATCTTCAAACAACAAGTGATTCCATTTGTGTTACAGAATTATACTTCCAGATAATTGAACATGGTGTTCTCATTCAATAACAAAGTAAATTATGTTTTCATAAATAGGACAGAAGTACAGGACTGCTTTAGGGGAATGACAAAGTCATTAGGATTGTGAGAGAAATCAAGCACAACAATACAGTGTGATTTGACTGATAGGGTCAACTGAAAAAAAGAATCTTTTATTCCACAGCCTTCCAACTGAAACAAATAACCCAGTTAGCCCAGAGTCAAAAGATTGTTTAAAAATATGCTCTGCAAAGTGTTACAAATACCAGAATGTTCAAACTTCAATGAACCTGCAGAGGAAGTGTCTCTCATGGCTCAGGACTCATATTGAAAACTTTGATCACAACAAGGTCTTGTGACATTATCAACTGTTGAAAGTTTCTATATTGATGGTCTATAGATGGGACTCTACCTGGATAGAAGGAACACATTTAACTACCAGCTGACAGCAAAGAGAGATCCAGCTGGTCTCAGTTCTCATGTTGATGTATAAGCTATACCATTTCCATATTAAAATATATACCTCAAACTGCCAATCAGATGAGAAGCCACTTTAATAAAGAACATATACATTTATACAAAGATCTATTTTTCACACAAGTAGGCAGGCAAAATGGACCTGTAGCAGCCAAAGTTCTCAAAGTTCTCAATGATTTCATATGGTAAGTGTAATAAGACTGCTACATCATACCCCAGGATTATGGCTAAAAAGACATCCACAAGGATTATATTTTTCTTACTTACAGAATCTCCTGTCTTGGCTGACACGAAATGGCTACTGAAATTGTTTTCCTGACAAAATCGTTGGTGCTTGTCAACTTTCACTGTGCGCATATGCTCCAAGTCAACTAAAAAGAAGTTGAAAAAAATGAAAAATTAATACAATGGAGCCCATTTAGTTACCTATCTTAGAAATTATTCATTGGAAACACATCAGATGCAAACTTTCCCTTTACAGATGTATGCAAATACAAGTTTCTTTCTTTTTATAATCATTTACCAAAATAAAAATAACTAATTACCTCAGACTAATTTTCTTCACAAAACTAAAACAAAACCACAATTAAGGTTATACGGTCAAATGCAACAAATTCATATCTGAAATAAAGGACAAATTTATTTCTGGATATACACAAGAAATTTGTAACAACTTTACTGCTAACTACATACAAAAACCTGAGAAAGAACAAACTTAATTTTCAGCATTCTGTTTATAAGCATGATGCATATTGGGACATTCCACTGTAGTCTCAAGACTTTTACAAAACAGAGTTCACCAAGCACATCTGAATCTACGTATTTTTTCTAAGTAAAAAAATGTAAATGAGTTATAAAAAAATTTATTGCAGAACATGGTAGAGCAAAAACATTCACTATAATAAAAAAATGAACTGAGAAAACACATTGATGCTTAGTTACTTTTATATGAAGTTTTCAATTCCACAAAGGTATGGTTCAGAAAATTAAAAACAGTAAAATGCATATTTCACATTTTCATTTCTATCATTTTACAACCACTGGAAGCAGAGTAAAGCTTTCAAATGGTATTTTATGTTGAAAAGCACTGATTGCTTCCAAAACAACATGGAACTCAAGTCTTGCACAGGTTTTATTGTGTACATTCCAGTTTCTCCAAATCTGATCCTAAGGTAACTGGAAACTATACTGAACTGTTTCTCTTTTTATTGCACTACAGTTCCTATAAGGGTGTTGACTCAATGCCGTCAAATTATAAGGCAAATATATTCAGAAGGATTTAAGGACAACCAGGCTCTTTGAGTCAATACAGGAAAAAAAAAAAAAACTTAAACTGATTTCCTGAGGAAGGGACCCAACTGACTTGTAAAAACTTGTAAATTTGCAAATCTAGTAAGCCTGCATAATAGTGTCATTTGATTATCAGCTGAAAAAATGCTCTCCTACTACATAAAAGGCTTTATTTTAAAATGATATTGGAGGTCTTTAATTTGAAGGCTCTGGAGATTTTCTCTTGGAGATTTTTAGTCTAACAGGGGATTCCTACACCCCATTTATACTGCTTACCTTGGTTAATGGGGAGGTTTTGCCACATATTACTGTTCCTTGTACATCAGTAAGGCCTTGTTTATAAGAACAGGTCTAAAATCATCCAGTTACCACAGGCACTAATTTGTGAAGGACTAAAATACTAAGCTATTAACACTAATGTTTGTAGTACAGTTTTTCATATTAAACGTAGAATATATAGTTTCATAAAAAATAGGAAGAACAAATACATTTACTAAGATAAAACCCAAAGTCAGTAACAATTTTGTTAAAAACTCACACAGTCTATGTAACAGCTACTTATCTTTTTTTTCTCTGAAAAATAACTACCAGAAGAGTAGCAGACTACCAATAGAGTCTCGGTTGAAATGCTTTTAAGGATAAAATACAGCACACTGACTAAACCAAAACATTATTAACTATTATTTTTACTCTTCACATATTAGCTTTAAGTGCAGCTTGGAAAACATAACAGTGAGATTACTCTTTTGGGAAAAATATATATTTTTTTTCTTTATTTTTATTTGACAAGCTCTTCAGGGAACCTTAACCCCACCTCCAAATTTCACTCACTGTATTTCTTTGACTATACCTAAACTCTAAAAACCTACACGATTACAATAAAAATAAATAAATAGATAGCACTGTATCCCTGTAAAATACCATGACATGCTTATGTAAGTCCATACTGACAAGCTCACAAGTTACAATCTCTCTCAGTCTCTTTCCCAGGAACGAAAAAATAGAGATTGGAAGAACACAACAGCATGCTAAAAGGTTTATGAATTTTCAGGAAGAAAATGCCACTGCCATATTGGAAATAATATCCTCAAATGCCTCCTATTTTTCTATTTGAAGAAACATCAAGAACAACATAAGGTCAGTGGAGCATATACTTTACTACAGTAGAGAAATTAAAACACCACAATATCCTAGAATCTAGCAGACTGGAAGTGAAAATCAAGGGGAAATTGTTTCTGAATTTCATGTAATTTTCAGTCCCACTCCCCACTTACAAGTATTTCACCTTGTGCCTTCTGAATTATGGGCAGTCTGCTGTGAACTGTACAGTTACTGTTATACTAGATAACTGCCAGGTAATTGTCCATGTGCACACCCAGCCCACAGTAAACGCAAGGCAATTCATGTTACATCAGTTCTCAATGAAAGAGGGCACAGTTTTACTACAAGAAAAGAGTTTCAAGAGTTAATAAATATTTAACTATAAAAAGCTGCACTTTGCAGTCAATGAAAGAAGACTATGCTAAATCAAATTACTTTGCATTGCCACAGGCTAAGGGCACAATCATAGATAGTTACTGAAGATAAGCTAAAATACAGTGAATAGTTACCCTCAAGTCCTTTTTTTTTCTGAACATCTGACATTGGTCAGCTCGACAGGCAGAATTCTTAGCACACCAGGAGATAAGTCTTGTCCAGCTTTTATTTAGACATTACAGCAAAAAGACTTTAAGAAGGGATTTGAAGGAGAAAAATGATTTTCTAAAAAGATGTTTATAAGGAATGCAGGGACTTTATAGAAAGAAAACTAACAGCTGGCCAATGTGGGCTTATATGATGAGCCAATTAACAGCAGGAATAGATATCTTGGGATGAAGGATGACACTAGACTGCACTTAAGCCATGAAAAGTTTAAAGGCAAAAGACAAATAAGTTTTGGATAGAAAGAAGGAGAATCAGATACATAAATACAGTTTGATTTTACAAACTAGGAAAATGATCTTGCAGAATACTGTAAATGACTAGATAACATTGCATTGGCCAAGAAAAAGGAATTACTGAAATTAAGATAAAAAATAAGAACACTTTAACTGTGGTAATGGTTATGATAGGCCATATCTAACAAAGGTCTCAAAGAAAGAATCTGCAAGATTTGGACACTCATCAAACACAAACATTTAGAGAAAGGCCCAAAGTGAAGCTGACGCGCCAGACGGTACAGTCATACTCCTCATCTAAAGCAAATGAGAAAGAAGATAATAACAGGGGAAAATTAATGGCTTCATTTTACCAAGTAGAATTTAAATTGATGGCAAGAAATTCACAATGGGATGTCAAAAAGACAGACAAGGATTCTAGTTTGAAAAGTGAAAAGAGATACAACTATTTGCAAACAGTGAATCTTATAGGCATACAAATGTTACAAACCAGTATTTTGGATTAAGTGCTTGGACAGAAACTCTGCTATCTACTTTAAATTATTATGTTTTCTGATCATGAAAAGCTAAGGCAACCCCAAGATGTGTGAATTTTACAGAATGCAGTGAGAGCATTTCTTTTATCTATCATTTCTAAAATTCTAAAGGTCATAAGCCAACAGGAATAGCATTTAAAGTCGAAGTTAGCAAAGCAATAGTTAAAATGTCAAAGGAGTCCAAGAACACTGCTAATTCCTTGACTATACAGGAACCACTTAGTATATTTGTATTAAACAGAATACTTAAACAAACCACATGAAAAATGAAATCAGGAGAAGCAGACAGACATCACGAGCAATGGGAGAGACAGAGACAGGTCATAGAATCATAGAATGGTTTGGGTTGGAAGGGATCTCAAAGATCATCTAGTTCCAAGCCCCTTGCCATGGGCAAGGACACCCTCCACTACACCAGGTTGCCCAAAGCCCCATCCAACCTGGCCTTGAACACTTCCAGGGATGGGGCATCCACAACTTCTCTGGGCAACCTGTTCCAGTGCCTCACCACCCTTTGAGTGAAAAATTTCTTCCTTATATCTAATCTAAATCTGCCCTCTTTCAGTTTAAAGCCATTTCCCCTTGTCCTATCACTACATGCCCTTGTAAAGAGTCCTGTAGGCCCCCTTTAAGTACTGGAAGGCTGTGATAAGATCACCCTGGAGCCTTCTCTTCTCCAGGCTGAACAGCCCCAACTCTCTCAGCCTGTCTTCATAGCAGAGGTGCTCCAGCCCTCAGATCATCTTCGTGGCCCTCTGGACCCGCTGCAGCAGCTCCATGTCCTTGTTGTGTTGGGGACTCCAGAGCTGAATGCAATATTCCAGGTGGGGTCAGAATTGTTTCACTGATTGGTATGATGAGGACAGAAAAAGAGGCTCATCAGCCCCTAAAGTCATTCTGAAGTCCCTTTCTAAGAAACATCATCCACAATATGGGCTGCTGCCATTTGTTCATTTTTGTGCCTCAAATACACACTAAAAAGCTTGTGTGAAAACTTAAAAAAAAAGACACTGTGGATGTCAGATATTCTCCAAAAAATATCTCCATTGTCTTAGGTGTCCTCTTCTGCAACTCTGTTTCTAATTAACTAGTCAAGAGCTCAACCTTTTGTTTCTCTGGAATGACACCAAACGTTCACCTTTAATTGAAATGACTCTTCACACCAGGTAAGCTTAAAGTTAGCAAGATAAATTGCTGCTCCATAACCACCAGATCTATATGCGTTTGTATGTGCAGGTATCCCATAAAGATACTGACAAAACAAAAATAGATCAGGAACTTGAGCAATTCAGACATGACTGCTTCCACCAGGTCAGACAGATCAAAATGAAAAAAATGTCACCTCGTAAATGAAACCAGCATAGATCACTGCCTGCTGTAGCAAAAGCAGGTAAGGCTTGCTAAAAGACTTGTTTCTCATGAACTCTGCAGAGTTCAGTTTTGATTTGTAGGTGAGATTAAACAGAGATCTAGTGAGGTGAAAAAAGAAAACAGAATCTAGGAGACAAGTACGAAACTCCCCCAGAAATCCCAAAGATACTCCCTTTAAGGAATTCCTGAAGATGTGAGAAGAAAAACAGGTGAGAAGAAAACTGCAGAATCTACGTA